AATATTGAAAAACAAGACACTGATAAGGATACTACCTCTTTTTGGTAGGTTTGTTGGGTCTACTCATGTATAGCGTAACTCTATCTTAACATTGTAACATGGTTGGTCAAATCCTAGGCATGAAGAAATAATACTTCTCCCCATTATGACCACAGATCTCATAATGGGAGGTTTCCGGTCTAGTATTAAGTTAGTATATTTCCCTTCTAAGCACAGAATAGTGGCTGCTTTTTTTGGCTTTGCTTTGGAAAACTATCTCCTCACAATAGTTGTTTGCAGGAACAAGAAAGAGAAGACCCATACACATGTTGGTTCTGCAAAATGGCAACATTCTTAAAACCAGAAATGATGTGTGAAAGATTAAAGAACCACAGAAAATGTATTTCCACCTGTCCTGGTTAAATCTTCCTTGAAAATAGAAATAAAAGACAAAATGAAAAATCCATTCCTTATAGCAAACGAGACTTTCACCTATGAGTTAGTTTATTTTGAAACGGAATTAGATTCTAGGAGTAGGCAGCACACATCCAAAATAAGACACAGTGGTCTCCTCTCATCAAATATATTGCTATGGCTGAAGCAGAGAAAATGTCTAATAGGAAGCAACCTGGCAAAGGGATGATCTAACTCAGATGTTAATAATTCATTTATCAGAAACAGGAGTAGTAGCATGAAATGTCAGCAGACAGTTTCATTTGTAGGGAGGCCTTTCCTATACTATACCCACCACAAGAGTTAATAATAATAAAAGAAAAACTGAATTGGAGAATAGGTTTTTATGGTCTCCACTTACAATGTTATTTCTTTTGTATCATTATTTAGACATGCCATCATTTTGGGACTTGCAAAAGTGACAAGAAAGGAATTTATATAACTGTTTTTTGGTGATTTCCTTTCCTTCAAAGCTCTTGCATTACAGATATAATCATGAAAATCTTGGGAGTAATGAAATTTTGTGGGTACAGCCTCTGCTAGTATGGAAAACCTTTTAGGTATTAGTTTCTAAGTCACCTCTCAGTTCAACCCACTAGAAATTTATATCATTCATCATTGTATCCAAGCACTTAGTACAAAACCACTTGGAAAGCTAGGCAGTGAATATTTGTTCAATGAATGAACAAATGAAGCCAAGTAAGAAAGAATTCCAAATATGGTTTGAGGCCTCCTCATCTGTCTGCAAAGGGAAGCCATTTTTGCAGAGCACCTGCCTTGGTGTCCCTGGTCTGACAGTGATCAGAAGTCCTCACCTTCACTCTTATTTCAATCCACAGAGGGGAGAGGGGAAAATTCTAACAGTGGTTTGAATAAGCCATGGCTTACCTTTAGAGAAACAGGAGAAGCTAAACCACTAATCCTAGAAATAGACAGACTCCTAGTCTTAGTTTAGATTTGGAATGTTCATATGTACACATATTTTGAGAGGAATTAGATATTGAATAGAACATGTAATTACAATAACAGCCCTAATTATATATCGCCTATTATATAGCCAACTCTGTATGCTTTACACATTTTATTTTTGAGATCTAAGTATTATTCTATTTCAGGTATTTTTAAAAAAGAATATAAAAGCTCAGAGTTGTTGTACCCAGAAAACAAAGCTAATCAAGGATAGCCAGGGCTAAATTTTAGTCAGCTCTTCTAAACTAAAAACTCGTTTCCTAATGCCAAGAAATGACTATTCCAACAGAGTTATCTACTTAGGGACCCATGCTTAAAGATAGATCCGTCCTTCATATCTGCCAATGTGATCTAATGAGAGGAGCAGCAGCTCAGCCATGAGCACCTGAAATACCCATAACCGTAAATATAACCCATAATCACCTGGACACATGCTTTTGATCAGGCAAAAGAAAAACCATGAGACAGAACTATTGATAGGCATTACAGAGACTTCTGATACCCCAGGGGACTTCTGGCTTTCATAAAGCAGAGGTCCAGAGTGCTGGTGTTGCATCTTAAAAATGCTATATGGATAGCCTTAGGGACACTCACACTCCTATGCCCCCCCCCCCGCCAAAGCTAAGAGTGGGTCCACACAGGACAGGGCAAACAACTCAATCACCCCGATTCTTGTTGGGCAGAGGCCCAGTTTAAAAATAATTATCACAAAGAATACAGCTTTGAAGGGACAGGCTGTAAAAAAGCCATCAAAGTCAATACTCAGTTGTCTTTACACACAGACAAAGACATCATGGTTAGTGAGGCTAGGTTCACCACACCCTTAGAGAATATGACCTCACCACTGAGGTTCAGTGCAAAAAGTACCACCTGGAGATGCAGCTGCAACTTGTTTTATGGGTCAGGTATCTGCAGAGCTCAATACTGTGTTCTTCGGTCTCTACAAAGAGCCATGACTATCCCTCCAATCCTTCACAAGGATGTTTGTCATGTCAACATGACCTCTACTTTCTGTAGTTTAAGTGTGTTGGGGGCCTATGCCTACACCCCTAAGCCCCCAAATGGGTGCACAGTAAAGGCTCAAAGGAATGAGACAAGTGGCATGGTCTTCAGGGCTGCAGGTGGAGTGAGATCCTCGGCAGGGCTTGTAACTCTGCTAGCCAGCTGACTGGGCCTGGGCAGCCCGTATTTAATCAGAACAAGCAAGGGGTTGAGTGGACAATGGAGGAAACCTGAGCAAGATGTTGGGAGGGGCTCAAGGACCCCTCAGAGCAACAGAGGATGCTAATTAAGGAAAACTATCTAGAAGGTCTCCAGGTGGCCTCAGCTGTGGCCTATCTTGCCCCCTGAGGCATCTCCTCATTCTCAGTTCAACCGTGCCAGGGACATGCCACAGTCCTGCACGTGTATCCAGCTTCAGTGGCTCCAACATAAGTGTATCTCTTTTCTCCCCAAATATTGTGATAAACTTAAGGAATGAATATAATACAGTCAGTTTTGCTATTACGCATGTTTTAAGAGCATGAATTTCTTCCAACATGGTTCATGTATGAGGAAACATTTTGAGCATATGTGACATAGGCATTTGATTACATTGATTTTCTACTAGAAACCCTAGACAAATTCAGAAAGCACACCAATGTGAACCAAACCCTGCAGCAACACACAACACACACACATGCAACCTCACGGCTCGGCAGCCCACAGCTACCCACCTAGCCGGCTCCTGTGCTGCACCTTCTCCCTGGTCACAAATAACCTTCTTCCACCTCACAACAGGGGTGGCCCGCCACCCTTCCAACAGGGCACCCTGGGGACATTGCCCATTCTGTTTACTGTTCCGCTCTCTCCATGCCTGTTTTGTGTTTTCTCTCTCTATTCTGTATTTTACATAGGGTTTTAATATTTACCTCTTTTTTCTCTGTTTTCCCCTTGCACACATGGTGGCAGCTGTGAGTGAAGCTCGGCTCACGGTCACATCCCTCCATAAATATGTAAAGTACTGCCTTTATTACACTTTGTATATATCTCTCCACTACTTAATATATACACAAAATTGGACTATCATTTTGTTGAATACCCTTCTTGTATACATGTGTGCGTCACTGACAGATCTGTTAGTGTCTGAGTTGACCTCTGTTTTCTTATTACTTTAAGATTTTTCAGAGTGATATCATTCTTAGCAATGAATATGTTGCATAATAGCGGAATGAACTAAAGGCTGAAATTTATCAGTGATGTTTTTGTGTTAAACGCTACTTTAAGAAATATTTTAGATTCACAGAAAAATGAGAAAAAGGCACAGAGATGTCCCAACTTCCCTTCACCCCACACAGGCATCACCAGTGATGTCTTTCTAACAAGCCCTGAACGAGTCAAGCCTCTTCTTGAATGTTTCATGATAGTTTGTAAATTAAGCTGAAAACCAGTTCACATTGTCTGAAATTATAGTCCGTTGTGTGAAATTTACTAAACATTATCATTTACAATCTAGACAATATCAAGTAGTCTAAAGGAAAATGATCCAATTTAATTTAGTCTTGTTCTTGTTTTGTTTGGAAGTTCTGGAAAAGCCTATGAAGTTTGTATATTGAAGTTTTCACCATAGAATTTGGTGTATCATATTTACTTGCTTGTATTAACAACAAAGTTCTTTGTACATGGTTAGAGAAAAGACAAACACATGTACAGTCTCATTTTCTAGATCATATGATTTAACTTATTAACTTAATAAAACACTAGTTAAGAAATTTTCCCTTAAAAAAAGTAGACTGTAAACTGCACATAATAAATAGGCCAAGCGCTGTGTTTGCAACTTCTTTGACTCCAATCTAAACATTTAAATAAAAATTCACATGAAAGTATCTAAATCACATTTGCAGTAACAGGAAAAAAATTTAATATGATATAGTGACCAAAAATACCTACAAATCCTTGTAAGGATCCGGGTCACTGTAAATAATAGAAAACAATCCCAGTTACGCACAGAGAAATGTTAAAATATTCTGTGTTACCCAGTCCATGTGTGTTTCCATTTGCATTCACTACAAATGTCTCCACTAGCTGCAAAGTGAAACTACACCCCTATGACCGGGAAAGACAGAGAAGAAAGGTGATACATACCAAGAGTGGCACTAATTCCTAAGTGTTTCATGTGTATTAGTGAAAACCCATCATTGATAAAGAGAATAAAAGAGAAATAAAGTAAGAAAGCTCCTGACCATGGCCTCAAATGCAGCAACAGTACTTTTTCAACATAACGAAATAAAGTGACTCTTTTGGAGCGTTACTTTGGCCTTCCTCTTTAACATTTTTATCTCTGAACAAATGGGTCAATGACCCCACGGAAGGCAGGGGCCCAGGCTTCCTTCCATACTGAAGATCCTGAAAACCTGCCTGCTCCCCAGAACTCACTCTGCAGCCTTTTTTTTTACTGTGTAGACCACCGTTTTGTCTTCTTAGAACCTTTGATGAAAGACCTGTTTACCTTGCCGTAAGTTAAGGGTTATTTGTTAGCCAAAGACTTCTGAAGAAAATACCTTCCTCAGTAGGAGCAGAAAACCACGCTCCTTGCCAGCCGCCCCTCATTTGAGCCTTACTTGTTCTCATTGCTTGCATCGTAACGAGGCATTGGATCCAAGTCATTCCCATTCACGTCACAACTCGCCAGCGCATCCTAGGCCACAGAGGAGGAAGCGAGAGGAAAGGGACAGTCGTTAATTAGCCACCAACCCGCAGGCTCATGCATTCTTAAACACATTTCCGCAGGAGAGTAATTAGGTTAACTAATACGCTCATAGTTCACCGGTGTCAGAAGGCCTTGGGGAGGGTAAGAACCAGTACTTTATTTTCCTCCTGAAGGTGAAGGAATGTTTTACACAGACCAAAGAGGTGCCAGCATTTCTCCACTTCATACCTAGAATGAACCAGTTCACAAAATGTGTGTTTTTTAAAGATACCCTCGGTTACTACCTTTTCTACAAAATAGTCCTCAAATACCTAGAAGCAAAGCAATTTCTTCTCTAGGTCCTTTCCCTATTTCTTACTTCATTTCTTGAGCTTCAACTTCTTTATCATAACTTAAAGATTTTAGAAGACAATGTCTACTGCATATGATTGACAAGCCAACTAAAATCAGTATTAGATATTTATTTGATCAAATACTCTGAGGCCCCTGTTAAGTGTGTGGGTTCAGAGATTAAATCCACTGTAGAGTCTATAACTCCAACATTTACTAACAACTCAACTGGTTTTTGACCAATCAAAATGATGAGCAAGGTTTTCCTATTAAAACCTTTCAAAATGAGGAAGTAGAGTCACCAAAAACAAGGCTGGATTTGTGTGCTTTCAAAACTGATTATGAAAAGTCTCCAAAATATTAAAAAGATGTTATCAGGTTGTTACCACTGTTTAAATTTATTTCATTGTAGGTAACTATTGTTCAGAAGCTTTTTCTTAGGCTCCATGATGACTCCTAACTTCAGTGTTAGTGAAATTCAATACCATCTTTGTTTTCTGCCTTTATGAAAGGCTCATGTTTCTAAAATAACTTTTAGTACACTGGTCTCGGAATGTTTGGAGAAATTAAGGAAAATATACCCTACCTCACCCTCTCATAGGTGGTCTCTGCCACCTGAAGCCAGATCTTCTTAGTGGTTAGTAGAGTAGAGAAGACTTTGGAGACAACCGAATGTAACTTAGTAATTTCACTTGTGAAGAAAAAGGAGCCCCCAAAAAGTTAATTTTTGGCCTGTTTTGTCATGAGACAAAAGAAGAGTGAAGCCCAGTTCTTCAGTCACCTCATTTGGTTTTTTCTACTTTTCTCTGGCTTCCACACAACAACAGTTAACTAGGACTGTTTGATTGTACAGGTAATTCTACAGCATTTTCTTTCAAGGGATGAGCACTGAGAAAGGTAAAGGCCACAATCAGAAATAGGTGAAAGCTGTTTGTACTGAATGAAATGCAGTTCTGAAGTAGGAGCAGCAACACACAGCAAAACCCAGCTTGCCCATCCCTGCTGGGGGAGAGGCGGGCAGCTCCGATCTTCACCTGACCCTGTATAATTCCCCTAGAGGCCAGGATTCAGTGTCCGCACCTATTAAAGAGGGGACTAATCTAAAGCTTCTTTTAACTTTTCATATTCTACCCTGTGCATAGGCACAAGGTTATGTGAACGTGTCAGGGTGCAAGTGAGGAGAATCACTCAGCCTGAGTCAGTTTGTGGTTTTTCTTAAGAAACAGAAATGGCTAGACAGCTTCCTAGGGACTGGTAAGGGGCTGATCATTACTGGAGGGGGAGAGAGGAGGGGGGCAGGCAGAGACAAAGAGGGAGTAACTGAGAAGCGCTATCCTTTCCTATAAAAGGAACAGCGTTGCCCGGCTGGTTGAGTGTTGCCCGTAGCCAATGGAGTCAGCAGTGGAGTTTCTGCTACCTTTCTGCTTTTAAAGGTCCGAATATCAAGGACACCCAGAAGTAAAAAACTGTTACCTCATGCTTCCTGTACTTAAAGAGCTTATCTTTTATAAAAAAGGAGCAAAACAGAGTATATTGCATCTGTGGCTGCATTTTTCTGGAAACACTTCTTTTTCCTTTTTTTTTTGTTTTTGTCTTTGGGAAGACAGGGTTTCACTCTGTAGCCCAGGCTGGTCTTAAACTCACAGGGACTCTCCTGCCTCAACCTTCTAAGTGCTATGTTTGCCATCATGCCTGGCAGGGAAGACTGCTGAGCACAGCAAAAACTCACATAGTTTTGCATGAGGTCAGGGTGGGTTCTCTCGATGCCGTCGTCCAGGATGGTCACCACGATGTTCTTCCCCGTGTAGCCTCTCTTCCAGGCTCCTTCGATATTCATGTCTGACTGGCAGGGATGGGTGTTGTCACTGCAGTGCTACAGGAGGAAAGGACATTGCAGATTACTGAAAAGTGCGGTGATACGAGAATTCCCTGTTAAGGCAATCCCTTATCAGCAATTATTAGAATGATGGTAGAGGAAGCCTGAATCTTCAGCATGGTACACAAGGAAGACAGAGGGAAGAGACAGGGGAAAGCAAGTCCACAGAAATCTGCCACCAGCTGTGACTTGCTCTGATACCATAAATCCTTTGGGAAAAAACATAAAAGTAAGACTTATCTCAACAGCAGATTAATGACACATCATTCTGTTGTTAGCAAGTGTGAATGAGACTTAAATATCCATGGCAGGACTTCATTTATAGATTGAAACCAGGTAACTAAAGAGCGGGAACTTTATGACATCTTACCAGGTACCCTGAAGTCACAACTCGAACTAACTTGAATACCTTTGGTACAATTAGCTAAAGATAGGCCTTTGTGAAAAACCTGAGAATGAGAAAAATATAACAGGGCCTCAAGATTTTTCATTCAATTAACAATGCTTCCTCTACCATTATGTACAGGGGCAGGCACGTTCATTCCGTGCTACTTTGAGAAGAAAAAGAGTGCAAAGTCCAGAAAGGTCCCCAGCCAGGAAAAAGTGGGTGAGGACTTCAAGGTGCAGCTGTAAAACGTGGATCCTTGGCTCATTAGGTTTAGAAATCTCATTCCACCCTGGCTACAACATGCAAACATACTGAAGAAGGAATTAAGCTAGTGGCTGGCTTTTCCTGATGTAATTTACTTTCATTTGTGCAACCCACACAGTTTTTTCTTTAAAGTCATCTTTTTGAAGTATCCCTCTGAATGGTGCTGTTTTCCAGGTTCTGAGGGCTGGGGAGAGAAACAAAAGAGAAGAGATGTGCTGCTCCACAATGCCATAGCAACACCAGCCACCCTGGCCCTGCACCATTCACTCCTCCCTCCTGCTTTGTGACAAAGAGTTCAGCATTTAGAGAATGGAGAGCATGCTAAGCTTTCTCTTCTCTAAGCACAATGGAGACCCCACTGTCACTAAGGCCTTTAACGCACACTTTATTGGGCGCCTACTGCCTGATGGGTATGGCCAGGAACAAGGCCCTGAGGTTCTGGTACTAAAGGGGAGGCACAGAAGATGAAACAAATGAATCTACTCAGTGCTCTCTGGGTTTTCAAGGCATTAAAGTGGTGATAAGACGGTGAATGGGTGGGGGGGGTCCTGAGTATACTGGGTTAGGTGGGATGGTCAGAAAAAGACTCTGATCTCTGAAAAAGTGCAATGTGAAATTGGACATAACTGATGAAAAACAATGGGTATACCCAAGAGCCTGGGGACAGATGTCATGCAGGGGGTGCAGCAAATGCGAAGACTGTCACGTGGGTAAGAGCTTACTGAGAAAGATGGGTACTGCTTGGGAGCATGGTACAGAAGGCAGCACACCAGAAACACAGGCGATGTTAGGTGGCGGGGCTCTGTCTGCCTTGATTCATCTTTCACTCCAAGCAAACCCTCACTGGATGCTTCTTTTTTTGCAAGTCGCATCCTTCAGAGCAAATACTAACCAGTGATGGAGCCCTTTAAGACCCCTTGACAGTATTTGTTCATGAGCTTATTCTCTAAGTGACACTGCTGTACATTGAATGTTACAAATATATTTGAATAGTTTCAAGGATCCTTTTTAAGAATGCACCACTCATTCAGGAGAGATGTCAGTTGCATAGAAGATAAGGGCTGGCCTGTATTTTATACAACATTTGCATCTTCCCCCCCCCTTCCGACTTCATCCTGACACTTGAAGCCCTATATATATATACACGCTAGTACCCTACAGTGCTGATGGAGTCCTGTTTGACCTTCACCCTACACTTTCCCAGGCACAGCTAAAGACTCAGATCTTCCCCCAAAAACCTTCTCCTCTTCCCTCCACTGAGAGCACACACATCAATCTGTTCTCCACAATTCTGCTCACTGAATTCAGCTGAGCCACTGTTGACTCCTACCTAATTACTGTTGAATTTCAGGTGTGAGTTTTGTCTCTTTAAAGGACTTAAGTCTCGCCTAGGAGTTTACAAACATTAGGTTGATCCACACCAGAAAGGAGAGCATACTTTCAACTTCATTTTCAAGATCAAAACTGCTAGCATGCTTCCTGCTCTGACCTCTTCAGAGACACCAGCCAGCCAGCTAATGTTTGGTTAACAGAAATAATAATGAAAAAAACTACTGCAGGTTTCCTAAATAGCTACTTTTTTAAAAAAGTCTCATTCTGGCCAAGAGTGTGGCCTCTCCTCACCAAATATTTTAATTTAACACAAAGCAGCTTTGACAGGTTTCCGTTTCATTTTCTTTTGCAAACCTGCTCTGACCACCTGTGGTATCGATTGATACAAGAAGCAATGTTAGTGTGGCCAAGGGGTAGGCGGGGGAAGGAAACGCACAGGAAATGGGTAACCCACAGATGGGATAACTGTCCTGGAATGGAGGGTGCTGCCTGAAATTGTAATCAGGAAAACTGAAGAAAACCAGCCATCTATGGAAAACATGTGTGCTAAAAGTGGAGTAACTGGTTTTCTTTTTTCCACCTCTGTTTTTGTTGAATCTGACTTTACCATTAAATATTCTGGTACTACTTTTTTTTTCTTATGCTTGCTTGCTCTCTTTCTTAATTTCGTTTTTACATCCACCACCATGGCATTACTGGAAGGCGGAGCGGAAACAGAAAATGATGCATTCATTTGTAATTCAGCAGGTATTATGTCAAAGGGAAAATGTCAAAGGGAAAAAATTTAATCAAACCCTATAGTATTTCTTGCAAGTGAGTAATAAGGCAAAGAGCATTGAAATCAGAACTTTAAATCCACAGCATATACCTTACATTTGTAGCATATCTGATGTGCTCTAGGCTTCCCAATCTGTTTCTGATAAGAGCTGTTCTATACCTCACACGTTCAAAGGGTAAATACCACATGAATACTGATGTCACTCAATACCAGCCAAAGATGAGAATGAATTCGTTGTTCCCTTAATTGCCTGAGTACAAGAGACTTTTAATGGGGCCCCATTTGCTTGCCAGGAATCCATGTTACAGCAGCATCCACAGGCAAAAGGATGCTCACTGAGCATGATGCCTTTGGTCATAGTCAACCTCGCAGAGCAGATCTCTGCTGCACCTGTAACTAGAGATGAACATCTGCAGTTGTATCATATATGCAGCCTGTGGCCTGCCGCAGGCGCTAGCTAGAAACGTTCAGCATACTGAAGAAGACTACAGAGGTGCACAACACATGCAACACAGGTTAACCTGCAGCCTATAGTAAATGTACACAGCAAATGTATTTCAGTTCGGAATAATGTGCTGCATCTCACTGGAAGTCTGACCTGATGCCCGGTTAGAAAGACCACTGGATGCAAAAAACAGAAAATATCTTGCAGAAACAGTGGTCACCATCGAGGTCTCCCACGTTCTTATCCATCAAAGTTTTTAACCCTTTCAGAAATGTAATTTTCAAGAGATTATACTGTGAGTTCAAGAATTGGCCTGTTCCACACCAAGGCTGGGTTATTCTGTTTATATATCACTATGAGGATGCCCATATATTTTGTGTCTTCAAGAACACATCGCAATGTTTGATCAAGGAAAAGACAGTTTGTGCCCAAAATAATTGTTTATTTTCTTTGAACTCCAGGCAGGAGGAAATGTAACATCATTCTTTTAAAGCTTCCCTAAGTTCTGAGGGCCTCCAATGGAATGCCTCCAAACTCCCTGCCCACTCCCACCCTTTACAGTGGTTCTAGGGATAGAAGCCAGGGCCTTGCACAAACTAGGCAACTGATCTACCATTCAACTACATTCCCAACTTTCACACTACCACATATATGCTGTCAATAATCTGCTAACTTGAAAACATCTGTTGTTCATTATTATTAATACAATGGATTTTAAGACTGCATCTCAGTCCTTATGTTAGTAAAAAAAAAGAATTTAATGCACAAAAATCTTCTAGAGATAACTTCAGGAACACATCTAGGCAATTTCATAAAGTCTTCTTGTATATTTGAAATTCTTAAAATTGGAGCCTGATTGGAATAAATTAAAAAAATTGAAATAATACTCCCTTTAGGCGGAAATATAACATCTACTAGACTCTTAATCATGACAACATCGTACTAATCACTGCATATAAATAGTATCATTTAAGACTTAGAACAACCATTCAGGAGAGGCAATTTTGTCATATACTTTTAATAGGTAAATAAAATGAGAATCACCCTTGTTAATTATCCAGAGTTTAAGCGTATAGAATGCTTCAGTTAAAAACTGAAACAGAAAAGAGGGTAAGAAAGGGTCAAAAGTATCAAACACGGAGATAAGGAGTAGGTGAGGAGTGGTTGTTAGAGAAAACTGCTCCAGTGATCAAATAATAGAAATCACACTGGCCTTAGCACTATGACCAGTGAAGTCAAGTGGTAAAGTAGAATACAGTTAGATAAGACCTTCAAGATCTTCTAATTTTCCCTCATTCCATTGATTGCAACACAATTCTATAGGAAATGCCAAGTTTCTATTTGAGAATGTTCAGTAACAGGAAACGTATGTCTTTATTAAATTGCCAATGATGACCTGGTAAATCAAGTCTCCTATAAAAAGCCCTCTTTGTAGTGTGTGTCAATGTCCGTGGTGTAAATATTCACATTATGAACCGTTGCAAACTACCATAATCACAAAATTCCTGAAAGTATAGTAAGAAGCTTTCATAAGTTGTTAGAAGATGAGTCCAATGTACCCTTAGAAGCAGCCCATCACTTTTTTTTTAAATTTTATTTAAGGAGAAAAAGAAAGAAAAAAAGCAGAGAAAGGGTACAAGTTATACAGAATTTCAGAAAAAAATAAACAGTAGGAAATCACTAATTAATAGATTACATATTGTCATCTTAGAAATATTTGTTCAAGTTACAAAATTAAAGCATATAAAGTGGACGTTCAAGTAGTGAGACTGCAAACGGTTCTGTTTAGT